AAAAAAAATTAATAGGTAAGAAACTAAAGAAAATAAATCGTCCCGAGTTTCAGTTTTTCAGTCAGTTACATTATGAATAAAACAACAGATATATATTTTGATAATACTTTGGTACTCGCTGTTTCTAGCTGAATGATTCTCTTAGTCACGCTAGCGAAGTTCTAGAACTGATTAGGATATAATTTGTAAACAATGGCCATGTCGAGGGGTGGACAAGAGGGGAGGCAACCGGAATTTGCGTGAGTTTAAGTAACGCTAGACAATTAAGCAACACGCACACCGGACATGGCTTGCGCGTTTCCTACAGCTTTAATACCACTGAGTTTAGCTCATGAAGCAGAAACTTGAAATCATATCGTAATGAATACGACAAATTAGAAGTTTTATGACAGTTTATGTCAGGCGTCGGACATTCAAAAAATTAGAACTATAGCAGATCGAGTTATAGACCATAGTTTCTAACTCAGTGAGGATATTATAGAAAATCTATAATTTTATACCTTGAATTCGAAGTTGAAAATAAAAGCACAACGAACATGTCTGTAATGTAAACACTGTAGACATTAAGGAGATCAGAAATTTCTCTTCGAATATTTTATCAACCACACACCCAGCCTWGGTAGTATAGTAGGCTGTGTGACGACAGGAAATAAGTTGGGATGTGTTATTACAGTTATAAGTTTGCTTTTTACTGCGGTGATTGATCTAAACTAAAGTTCAATACGTCAGTCAAATCTTAACAAAGTTATATTTTCAACTAGAGTTTATGTATCTATTTCTTTATGTAAGCAAACTAGGTAGTATTGAATAACCGACGGTGTTTTGTTTCACTCATAATGATATCAAAGGGCGTACATGACGTTGTTTCGTCTCGTTTTGCCTCACTGGCAAAAGTCAGAACAAATCAAGCATTTCAGTTGGTAACTGAAAATGTCGAAATATTTAATACCAATCGTAAAACTCGAAGAGAAAGTTTTGATCTCGTCCGTATTGTGAGATTTGAAGCAAGATTTTTTTCCCAACAGGTAATAATAATCAGATTTAGTAGTGATATCAGTTACTCGTCTAGATACGGTAACCAATTTACCGTCAATTTTAATTTAAACGAATTTCTAGCGTTTATTTTATGGCGTTAGTAAGATGAGTGGAAAATGAGCCATGCATTCCAAATTGAAATTTCCTCGATACTTCTTTCTTATTTTTCCATACTTCATTTAAAAGCTTATATATTGCTTGTCAGTGTGAACCAGTTATAAGCCCTCAAGTTTCCGATCGAGTAAACGGTGATTGTATTTTGGTTTAGTAAATTGCTTTTTTTTGTTGAGTTGACGATAAAGCAGACGTATATTTTTTTATCGATCATTTCATTATTCTTCTATATTTGAAATATAATTGAATTTGACAAGGATTAACATGGATTTCATTAGTTTTTTATACAATACGAATACATCGTAACCGATGAGTACYGACTATAAACTGTGGAACTGTGTCGCCTATAGCTACAGTATAACGTACTACAGTATTGAGATATCAAATATTAAACTACCGGTTTTAAATCTATTTGTATCTTAATTGACAATAACAACTTCGGGTTTTTAGCGTTGCTTAGAGCCACCTATTCTTTTGTTCGAAAAGTAGAAAAGCGTACCTAAACCTATTATGACGTCACAAAGTACGTCACGCCTTGACGTCATTACAATAATTCAATTTTAATGTCACTTTAATATTATCGATATTGCTATTTCGTATGTAACAATATTCTTACTCCTTGGTTACAGTGAAAATTTGATCAAAACAAAAATGAATTTGATTGGTTTGAGATGGCTTAATTTTGGAAAATTACTGGAAAGTTCTAATTTAAAAATTTAAAAATTTAACTCTAAATTTTTAGCTACAAATTCCGACTTATTAATGAACAATAAGGCAATATTTTTCCAAGTTCTTTGTTTCTATCTATATTTTTCAACTGTAAGAAAAAAAGGCTGAAGATTTCTCCCCAAAAATAGTAAGGTTATTTAGTGTCGACGGACGAAAGGTTGTAATCAGTCTGGTTATGTCTTAGATTTCAGTACAATGTGGCTAGAATATTTCATTCGTCTAATAGCGAAGTATTCAAAAAACTACAAACATTATTAGAACATTATATTAGAATAAAAGCTTTATGGATCCAGTTTTATTTCAAAAAGGCAATCTATACAGCAACTGCTAATATAATACAACAATTTGCTTAATAAGATTCTGATAGCAAGGCTACCTAAAGTTGGGCTAAATTGTTTATGAAAAACATAAATATATCTTCCGTTAGGATTCAGCCTCTTTTACTTTTTGTTCAAGTGTGTGCAAAGTTTTTTGGATTCCTTCTAAAGCAATAGCTTTAGTTGTTGCAATCCATTCCACTGGAGAGTTTATTCTATTCAATTCTCTTAGTAAATATTCCAGCAACTCTTTCATAGCCCTGTAATCTTGAGTACGAGATGTCCCTCGGTAGTTTCGAACTCTTTCTTGGATATCACTGTTTTGAGCAGAAATAGCTTGGATAGCAGTGAGTTTTCCAAAACCTTCCATCATCGAGTCATGGTTACTTCCACTACTGCTTGTAGTTGTACTATTACCATTAGACGTTGGGCCACGGTCTCGTTGACCACTTATTGACGCACTAGATGACCTAGGTTCAGAATTCCTTCCATTAGATGTCGTTGTTTGAGTAACTTCAGCTAAATCAGAAAACATGTACACACGTTTTGGAGCGTCAGAATTGATCCCAGACGCACCGAAATTCGAACCGTTTGAATTCTGSGGTCGACTGGTGAAGGCCGATCCTTCTCCACTGGCGCCATTTTCCTCGTCTTCTAGTTGCTGTATCTTAATTTCATTGCGCCTATCTTTAGGGATATCAAATAAAGTTTTTTGGTTTGTATTTGATTGTGGAGAAAAGGCTTTTTCTAAGTCTTCTTCACAGATACTACAATTACAATCGACCAAGTGACCTCGCGAATTATATTTGAATGTTCTTGGTTTTCCGTTTTCACTGCTCGAACCATCTGTTCTTTGATACCATGGCTTGCTCCAGGGTGTTTGCCATGAAGGAATCTCGTACTGAGACTCGGTAAATTGTGGTTGCCTTCCAGCATCGTCACGTCTCCTCTCCATCGCGTAGAAATGGCGGTCCTTCCTGTTCAACCCAAACCTATTCTACACAAAAAATCATCGCCAAACTATAGTAAATATCTAGAAAAATTGTCAGAATTAAAGAATYCTTTTCCTCAAACCTTTAATGCCTTTGAGAATCGGAAAATTTGCCGATCGAGAGAAGAAATATAGGTTTTGAAAAAGGACTTTCTCGATGACAAGCGCAGCGATCGAGAAGCTTCCACAATAACAAACTCGTGCCCTTCCCTGTCGGCCTCAAGTTTGTCGGCCCAAAATTAACCCCACCGGGCACTATTAAATACAACTTCTCTTCTCGGAAAAAATAAATCTTATTTCAAAGTTTCGTACGTAGTAATTTTCATAACTATTCTTATATTTTAAGTATAATAATTTGGGGTTAAAGTATAGAGCTTTAGAATTTGATAAGAGCTAGATTTTTTTGAGAAGATAAATTGTTTCCCTTGGGTTCCCCTCAAGGATATTGTTTGTGTGTTTCCATATATGGCAAGTCAGTTCTAGAAGATTCGAATGTAAGAGAAAATGGATCACACGTTTATCACTTTTATGTATGTTCAAGCAGCAAAAGCGACAAACAAGCTATGCTCTCCTAACGTTATATTCTCTCCTCTTCGCTTTAGATCGCCATTCTAAACCGATCGAAACACCAAGTTAACTTCTTCGTGAACTAAACTCAGTACTTAAGCGTACTAGAGATTTATTGGATTGAAAATGGGGCGCGATTTTTACGCTGTTCTCGGCGTACCGAGAAATGCCTCGACGGAAGACATCAAGAAAGCGTACAAAAAGCAAGCTAGGATTTTTCACCCGGATAAAAACAAAAACCAAGGGGCTGAAGAAAAGTTCAAAGTGATATCAGAAGCTTACAAGGTTCTCACCGACCCCAACAAAAGGGAAATTTTTGATATGTGGGGTGAAGAAGGGTTGGCTGGCGACTTTGAAAGTCGAGGATTCTCTTTCCTTGATCCGATGAAAGTCTTCCGTGAAGTATTTGGCGACGAAGATCCTTTTAAAGGTATAATAATGTTCTAATTAACCAAATGCTACATTCTATTGACTACCATTACTCTAGCGTTTCTCGAAGCATTTTGGGTTCTTACGCAAACCTCCCCTACATTTAATTCCTATTCATTGCAAATTTTATGTCAAATATTCCTTCGATTTTATCCTACTTTTGCCAGATCTGGTGACGATTTTATTATGGTGGAATCTTTGGTTATGTGTGACATATTTTTAGACAACATTAATCCTTGAGGATCGAATTTATCAATTTTGTAGTGCAAAGAATCACTAGAAAAATTAAATTCAACGTCTAGATTTGATACCCAACCACAAACATACACTTTACTGCTCTCAAATTTTCTACGGCTCTTTAAGATAGATCAGGATAGATGATTACGAACCCATATTCCACGTTTCGCTCAAGCTAATTCCCGTGGAACTGTTTAACGAGTTTTAATCCCATTATTTATATCGTAGGACGGGTACATACGCTTCGAATCATTTTCTAGGACATTTCATCATGAGATCATATTGCATGACATTAGCCCTGTGTCTATGACACACAATATGCACGCCTAGATTGCACCCCGTGGCCCGCTATCCACGGGTCGTGTGCCAAACAATTCTATTTTTCAATAAGCTTTACCATATGTTTTTACGAATTAAACCAAGCACTAAAACTATACTAAATTTCAATTGGAAATGTTTTTGAGAAAATAGTAAGACAAAATCTATTTTTGGCATATACTTGGTTAGGCTTGGCAAAAAAAGTTATGAATATTTCAGATCTTTGGCAGTAAACAAAAACATTTTTATAACCATTTAGTAGTACATATTATTAAATAGCTTGAAAATAAATATTTTCATACAAATGAAAAATATCTTTCATTGCTCACATTTTTCCTTTTTCCCAAAAATAAATGAAAAAATTTCGAGATTTTTATTAAAAGTATTGGCAAGTCTTATTCTTTGTCTTTTTTATATGCAAATTAATATATATATATATATATATATAAAACAGATTTATTAAAGTGCTACTACGACGAAAATCACTCAAACTTGGATTCAGCTGAAACTTCCTAAAAATTCTCTTTAAAGGTCCAATAATCACTGTATGAAGTGTTTTCTCGATATTCAGGACGAAAGTATGATATTTTTACGATTATTTTTTGGAGTCTGTGACGTCATACACTCAACATCGAACATCGCTCCAAACATTTCTTTGTAGTTTATGATCAAAATATCAGTAGTAAAGGGAGAAAGAAATACCCAAACTCCCCAAAATATAAATTATAGTCACAAGTAATGTGAAATAAGCACATTAGCCACCCTTTGGGCTTCATAGGAATAAAATAAATTAAGGATTTATATACAAAGAAATGTATGGAGCGATGTTCGATGTTGAGTGTATGACGTCACAGACTCCAAAAAATAATCGTAAAAATATCATACTTTCGTCCTGAATATCGAGAAAACACTTCATACAGTGATTATTGGACCTTTAAAGAGTATTTTTAGGAAGTTTCAGCTGAATCCAAGTTTGAGCGATTTTCGTCGTAGTAGCACTTTAAATAAATGCAGTATGTTATTTATTCTATTTTTGTTTTGGAGACCCATGTCTAATAATTATTGGAAGATGTCAAAGTTTAGTTTAAAAATGTCAGAGTTTTTTCGCTTGAATCTTTCACATTTTTTTAGAATTCAGACTCATAATTAATCATCCTTTTTTTGCTTTCTAGAATTCGACTTCTTTTTCTTTGATGGTCTAGGAGATTCCTGCAATTTCTCCAAAGTATTTCAATCTCATTCATCATCATCTTCATCCGGTGGCTGGAAAAATTTTGGCAATGAAGGATTCAATTTTGCTCCAGGTCCAGATACATTTACGAAGCCTGAAACAACGCTAACACAAGATCCACCAATTGAACAGTTTTTGCCAATGACACTAGAGGAATTATTTACTGGATGTGTTAAGAAACTTAAAATAACCCATCAGATATTATCGCAAAATACATATGTACAGGAAGAAAAGATCCTTCAAATTGATGTGAAGCCTGGATGGAAAGCTGGTACGAAAGTGACATTCCCCAACGAAGGGGACATGAAACCCGGAGTAATTGCAGCAGACATTGTATTTGTTGTAGCAGACAAACCACATCAATTTTTTAAAAGAGACTCTGATAATAACTTATTGTATCTTGCAAAATTGACTTTACGAGAAGCCCTCGTTGGATGTATGGTTAATGTACCAACAATTGATGGAAGAGTATTGTCTATTCAAGTTAATGAGGTCATACAACCAGGAACTCAAAAGAGAATACCTGGAGAAGGACTTCCTGTTCCTAAATTAAATGGCCAAAGAGCCGACATGATTGTTGCATTTGATGTAGCATTCCCAACAAATTTATCTAATGAACAAAAAGAATTTCTAGCATCTTTACCTTTCTAAGAATAAGCTTAAAAACTTCTTTATAACAGTGTGACTACTATAACCAGGGCCACCTAGGCAGTGAGAACCAATGAAATTGTAGAATCAATTAGAAAAACAAYCCCAAGCCATTGTTGAGCCAATCAGAAGCCTAGACCGAACGAGAAGTAATTTGACCCTGGTGTTACTTATAAACAGCTAGACAGCCAACTAGATATTTTCTCATGAAATAAAAGGATATGTTGAAAGGCTATTGTTTTCTGCTGCTTTCTGATTGGCTCCACTACCCAAAGTTTGAATGTATTGTTTTTGGTTGGCTCTGGCTGTCTAGGTTATGCCAGTTATAGTAGCTACACTGTAATTTTGAATAAAACTGAATTTCRAGTGAATAGCTAAATAGCAGATTTTAATTGTGCAAAGTTGAGAGAATCATAGGTGAAGATAAAGGGTTTGGATTGAAATACATTGAGAAGTCAGTTTGCAATATTCCCTTTTCTCATTCAGTAAATCCTGCTGTGTTTTATGACTGAAGTCTCATCTACACAGGCTTAGCATCATTTAAGAGCAAACCATTTGCTAAAGTCACTGTAATGTAAAGAATGTACGATTTGAACAATACCTGTGTTTTGAAATCTCACAGACTTTTAATGGTATCTGTGAATAGCTGACTTATAAACAAGGCTAAGCCTGTGCATGCATTGAATGTGAAACTGGTGTAATTGAACTGCTCTTGTAAACTCGACTCTTATCTTTACCTACGTGGTATTTCGATGCACATTTTTACCACTTCCAACCATCTGAAAAAAGATTATTCTTTGAATATAAACTCATTCTGTATTTTAATGAGCTTTTTTGAGTATTACCTCTAAACAAAAAGATAATGCTCAAGGGAATGTTATGTGGTTTGGAAATGGAGAACATGGTGCAGTAGAAAAATCTGCTAGATACATGAACAAATTATATTTTTATTGACCAAAATGGTTAAGGTGTAGTATCTTACTCATATTAGATTATTTTGAAAAATTCCCAATASATAGAATATATTATAGCTATTTCAAAAAGGTTGATGAAGGTTTTGTTGCATGTTCCTTACTATACTCGAAATAGTAATGATGAAAAGGTAAATTATACACCGTGAAAAGATGAAAAAACTTACTGACGTTTCGGACGCTAGTCCTTCGTCGGAGTATACTTGAAATATGTAATTAATGTCAGCACAGTAGAAATTGTGACAGAAAAAACTTGCAGATAAAGTTTGGAAAAATTCCATGCATATTGCTGTGACGTTTTGGTGATGGTATTTACATTCCCATAGTGCAATTTGTGACTTTGTATGCCAACGAAACCTTCATTAAACTTTTTTGAAATAGCTGTATATAAGTATGAAACTGTGGTGACACAAGCCTGACTGAGACAGACACTCAAAGACCCATATTCTAATCGTAGTCTACAAATTTACTCTAAATGTATTACACATCATGTAAATCCACAGTATTTCATTTCAATATATATATATATATATATATACAAAAATTTATTTTAAAGACATATTTTAACAAGAAGGATTTATTTTATTTGATATACTTCATAAGTGTTTTGATAGTGTAAATAGTATATATTAACAAATAGGAATAGAGGAACTTAAGCTTAGCAAATGTCCTTCTTATTTGGAAAAAGTAACATACTAACAATATGTAAAATGAACAATTTAGACAAAGCACTCTTGACCCGGTTTTAGTTGATGTAATCTAATATTTGACAGAAACATTTACAATTTATTTGTACATAAAGGGATATAAAGCCTTGAAGATTATAAACTGTTGTGCTGTCCAAATTCAACTTTATCTATACGATATACTTCATAAACAATAATAGTAATATTAACTATAATATTAGTGATATTTTTTGATAATAACTAGTGTTGCAAACAATATGGTTAATTTGTAATAATAGTAAAAATAATAGTAAAATAATAATGATGATGACGATGATGATAAGGAGCTACACGCGTTTTCGTTTTGTGATGATCATGACCAATATTCATCTCTTCTAGAATGTCCAGATTAGTAGGTATAGTATATTAGAAACGTTCCTTTAGCAGCCTTGAATGAAACACGCACCATACCATGACAACAGAGACGTTTTTCTAAACAAGCTTAACTGAGGCTTTCTAAAACATCTATGAAGGCTGTTTTYAGCAGTAGCTACGCTAACTGTTTCGCGAATTAATCATGTTCATTGTTCAACTCTCTTCGTCCCTGGGGCATGCCTGGGATTTTTATTTCACGCTTTTGCAATTCGTCATCCATCTTTTTTTTACCGAGAGGAATATCGTAAGAAAAAGAGAAAATCATTTGATCTGGATTTTAATGCCTGTTCTGGAAAAATTTCTCAAACTCAAATCTAGATAGATCTATACGTTTCCCTAAGACCCGACACAACCAGATATCATATTGATTACATACATTTCGAGAAAACGATTTGTTGAACGGTTTTTTGCTATTTTGTTCTGGATCATTCGTAGCCAAATTGTCCACCTAAATTTACCACAATTTTCATGAGATATGCTCAACTCCAAAAATGGCTTTTGCAATAAGTTATCGAGTTAGTATTGTTCTTGTTTTCGCGTGCTCTTAGCCTGTCAAGAACCCCATGACTCCTATGATGATGAAGACTCCCACTAGACAAACCACAATTTCGATCCAATCTCATTATGATACCGTCTTTTAATCATGCAACCGTTTGGGAGTAAAAATATTCCTGATTATTTTAATTTCTTTGACTTTTTTCTAGGTTGTATTTTCTTTCGAAACTCCTCTGACTAGTCAGCACTTTTTTAATCATTCAAAATATTAACTAGGTCGTTTTAATTTCCCATTCACTTATTTTATTATTCTTTTATTCATTTCTACTTTTTTGTAAGGGAAAAGGAGTTTTTATCCGTCTTTTCCCACTTTTCCCCACTTTAGTAGATTCCATATATCTCAATTTATAGAAACTTTAACTTTGGATAAAAATTAAAAGTATCTTTGCCAACGGGAAAACTGAACTCAAGGGAATGACATCAGCCAGAAAGAGAATCCTAGTGAGGTTCTAGCTAACAAGCCTCGTTTTTTTAAAGCAGTTCGCTGACATTATGTTTTCTACCGTTTTTTACCGTTTTTTACCGTTTTTCTAAAAATAGATAATTCTAGTGAAGGTCAGCCAAGGCTAATTAGTTTGCAAGCCTCTGTTGAAGGTGTTCAGCGTCATTTCATCAATGAAAATTCTGCATGGTTTTCTACCCGTTCAAGCACCTTCGAATTCAAAACTCCTGTCTCTAGAAAAGAAAASAAAAATTCCGATGAAATATTTCCAATTTTACACTTTATTCTTTATCTATTCACGCGTAAATCGAGTTGCCCTGGGCACTAATCCGTTTTGGATCGTGTAAGTTTGCACGTCTCTAACACGCATGCGCAATGACTTTAGTTTTAGAAATAGCATAAAACGGGGAATCGTAGTATTCCTTAGAATGAAAAATATGCTGAATGGAAATTATAAGCTGACGAATGAGCGACTTTGCCAGCACCAGGCTTAATAAAAACGTCATGAATAAATCAAAGGTTTTTGTATTCTTTGTCAATTGCTCTAGCTCTTTCTCTGGCGTCCGTGATGAAAAACATGAATACAGACGCCGCGATCTTTGAATATTCTTGTCTAAAATACATTATCCAATCCATATGTCAGAATTATCAAACTTCACAAATAAAGTGTTTTTTCTAATGGGCTGCAATATCTTGAAGAAACCTCGACCTTAATGTTTTTCCCCGATTGATCCAATCACACTTTTCGATTCAAATGTTTTTGTACATTGTTTAGCTTTATCATTTGTTTCTGGTTCATTAAAATTAAATTTAACTTCTGGAATGACTTTCCGAGTTTAGGTACATAGTTAGAAGTCAATATAAACAACAAAATTTAAGAACGAATATTTTTTATTGCAGATTCTTTTTTTTCGTGGGGAAATCCGGACTTTCTAGTATATTCCATTGTCATAAATCATGATTGTAAAACAATGACAGTACTTCTTTAAATTGTCAATTTCATATCAATACACGTGGCATTTCTATATACGAATAATTACTAAGGAAAGCAAGCTTGAAACTCGTGACATCCTCACTGTCTGCTATTTACAAAGACGGTTCTAGAATATTGACCCAGGGTTTCTATCTTGGCAGAGAATCAATAACAACTTGTCTTTGGTGTGGAGAAAGATAATTAGGAAAAAATATTTCGTACTTTATGATCAAATCTGCTCTAGTCGAGGGATTTTTCGCTCGTGGAAGTCCTTCTCCTTTGATGAGTTTTTGAGTTCCTGGTTGGATGATTCTGTCGTGGTTTATACGTAGAGTTTTCCCGTCAATTGTTGGGATTTCAACATTCGTGCCGACGAGAGCATCGCGCAAAGGCATCTTACATATATATACTAAGTTATTCTCGCTATCTCTAGTAAAGTGTTTGTGTATTTTGTCTTTTAATTTGAAGACAATATCTGCAGGTTCTACTCCGGGTTTCTTGTCTCCTTCACCAGAAAATGTAATTTTCGTCCCTTCTTTATATCCCGGTATTATTCTGACGAGCAGAATWTTTTCCTCGATTGAATAGTTTCCCAACTGGTCGTAAACTTTCCTAGATATTTTAAGTTTCTTTGTGGTTCCGAAAAATATTTCTTCCAGGCTTAGTAATAAGTCTTGTTCTACGGCGGGATCTTGTCTCTTGAATTTTTTCATCGGACTAATGTCGTTGATAAATTGTTCTTCAAGCGGGCGAGTCTTTCTTGGATTGCGATCCGAGCCGTGAACTAGAGTAAATTCATTCATCATTTCTGTTATAAAGTCCTCATCGTCAACCAAATCGTCAATAATAGTCCTAGCAGCGTCCTGATATTCAAACGTTGATCGCGTAGTTTTGAACCCTGGTCCTTGAAACGAAATATCTGGTCCACCGAACACTTCACTTCTAGTCTTTTTCGAACTTGTGTAAAAAAATGTCTCTTCTCTCGAACGGTCGTACTGTTTGCGTTTTTCATCATCTTTCAAAACTGTGTAAGCCTCGACAATCTCTTTGAACCTTTTCTCAGCTTCTGGTTTGTTGTTTTTATCTGGATGGAATTTCAACGCCAAAATCCTGTAAGATTGTTTGATTTCCTCCGTCGATGCTGAACAGGGAACGTTCAGAATCGAGTAGTAGCTTGTTTCTGCCATGGTAAATTTTCTCGAGTTTTTTTTYCCTGCTTGGGTAAGTTCCTGTTAGCTGAACATTCTGTGTCAACTGCTTGCAAAGAACTGACAAAAATACTCAACTGTTTACCGATTTCTTTGTCTTCAAAGCTTCTCGAAGATTCGAAAGTTTTCAGGGATTTTCCCTGAGCAAACGAGCTTTCCGGTCGCATGAGATGTTGTCATCAAAATCCGGTATACAGATTTAGAATTTCGGGCACTTAGTTTCCGTGTTCGACTTATGCGTGAAATTTAAGGAAAGATTTACGGAAATGTTTTATTTCTTTCCTTTTCTTTTCTTTTCTTTTCTTTCTTTTTTTTTCTTTTTTTTTTTTGTCAAGTAAAAAGGCGGCTTTTGATGCCGTGTTTTATGGAATGTTTCTTTAATACCGGTATCAGTCCTGCTCTGTGTGTCCTGCAAGATAAAGCTTTTTTTAACGCGCCAATTAATACTCTTGAAGGAGCAAAAAAGCTTTGACAAAGAAACCAAAACTTGTATAGAATGAAAAACATTGTAAAAGTAAGAAGAAAAAACTCTCTTCCCCAGACCTCCTCGATGATTACCGCTCGATGCTGACCAAAAACAATGCAGGCTCTATCTCACAACAAGCGTGCCGATGAAAATGCATGAAAACTTCACGACAAAAACTTTACCAAAGAAATAATGACGAACGTTCTGCATTTCTTTCTCTTAGTTCATAAAACAGTATTCCAGTGGAGTAAATGAGTAAGGAAGAAGAGAAGTACTACAGGTAAGTGATATGGGTAAAAAAATATTAGGCTTTGTTTTTACTATCCGTATAAATGAGATAAAGCTAAGAGAAATTTTTTCTCTTGAATTTTCTTAGTATAAAGAATAGTATTCGTTCTCTTACAGTGTAAGGCATTTCTTCTCGTAGCCTTGCATAGAAATTTCTTGGCCTACTGTCTTATTTGCTTTAATTTGACAGTTTATGGGCTACCTGTATGATTTAGGTAAACGGGCTGCCTGTGCTTTGGAGAATTTTACCGGTGTTGGGCTTCCTGTTTACTTTAAGTTTCACGCAACATGTGCGCAATCAATAATAACGTGCGCAGGTACAAAAAACTTTTAACATCTTTTTAAAATAATCGAGAAAAATAAATAAGTAGATATGTGAATAAGAAGCAAACTTAAACACCATTTAAAGAAATATTGTGATTATTATACTTAAGTTTTAGAAGTCTTCAGGCTTGCAAAAAATATTTAAGCAAATATGATACGGATTACGCATAAAATATCACGTTTTCTGTTTTTTAACTTCTTTATTTTATTTTTGGATACCAAACAAGGTATTATCAGCATTGTCTGATCAGCCTTCAGCAAAATAAGTGGGTTTTTACCCTCTGGTTACCCCCAAAAGACGCAAAGTATTATGGGGATGTGAAAGTAGAGAATAGAGGCTTTGCACATCACGTGCCGGCGCCCATAATCCAGCTTGGGCTGCCTGTGGTTAGATGGCAGAGCGATATAATCCCTTTGCTCTCGGGAATTGAATTCTTTCTCATGTAAAACGATTGTATTGCTCCTGCCATCTAACATGGCTGCCTTCACGCGATGGTGCAAAAACATTGGGAAAACTACCCATTGTTTGGGCGGACACTCAAGCCTGAAAGACGGGATCGCTCTATCCCCCCCCCACCTCATCCGCCTTGAAAATATTTGATTATTTGTTGCATGCAATTGCTGGCAAATTTCACATATGTTTTGCTTTGATAAGGAAGAAACAATTAGTAAGATAACTGCATTTTTTCGTGTATATATACTTATCCTGGTAAATGCAGTTTGTGCCGAGCACGCAAACATTGACAAGTGAATAAAACCTTCTGTTACTTACATTTCCTGTAAGAAATGTCCGATCACTTTAATTAGTAAAGTGGAAAAGCTTGAGGTCAAAGAGAAAATATATAAAAAGGTTGAGATGTGTTTTTTTGGCATGACTTATTGTAAGACATCCAGTACCGACCGACTATAGCTAAGGTCTTGATCTTACACAGACTCGGCGTTTTCATATCGTAAAGTTTAATACCTAATGATGATAGCAATACACCGCAGATATAACTAGCCATAAAGACATTTAGCGAGACGTTCTGGGTGTGTTTAACGAATAGCTATGACCTTCGGCTACCACACAGTGTGGGTATAAGTTAAGACGGAAAAGGATTTGACGTGGAAAGGGGGTACTTAGAGATTGACCCTCATCATAAGATTAACACAGAATAAATCTATGCAGGATTTAATAATAATAATAATAATAATAACTTTATTTCTTAAAAAACGCATTTCTAAAACTCAATGCTTTTTACAATAAAAAGCAAAAATTATAAAAGCAGAAAAAGAAAATAAAACTAATGAAATATATGTAATCCAATATAAATACATAACTAAAAAAAGTAAATGGAAATAGCGCAAAACATGAATTTACATAAGAAGCATAATGCCATCTAGAGTAAAACTATATTATTGATAAACAATTTAAAATAAATATGTCTTGAGCTTTGTTTTAAATATGTTGATGTTATCAGATAATTTCAATTTTTTCAATTTAACACTGAATGTGAGCGCCGATGCATCAGAATTCCGTATTCCCGCTCAGACCTCGCGAGCCTTTATCAACCAAATCTATTAGATTCCTACTTTTATTACGTCTTCTCCTTTCATCACGCCGGGGCAATTGTCTATATCTAGGAATCTCAGTGTCAGAACTTATAAACACATTTTGGAACAATGTAGTTTTGACTTAGAGGCGATTCTATCTAAGTAAACCCCCAGGTTATATGCCCGCGACATGTTGAAATCATTAACCGAGATTTGCAGTCAACACTATATACGGGTATCATCATTTCATTAATGAGTTAATCTAACTCTGGTAATGWTCTGCTATTTGACGTAACCTAGTTTTAAAACGAGACAACTTTAAGAAAAAACACCCACTAGTCATACCAGTATCTTTTAGAGAGGAAAAAGACTTGGCAGTTACTAAACAATGGCTCGTACTTTGTTTGGATTTTTCCTTTGTTTATTGTCATTTTGCGAGCTTGGGACGCATTCCCTTGGAAATGAAGGTAAGGTTGTGGCAAACGTAGAATAAAAGTCAGTTGCGATAGACATAGTTTTATGTGGTTCAAAATGAGTCAACAATGATAAATTTTGATTGACCTACTTGGATGCATCGTCTATGGAAGTTAGTCAAAGGAGAAAATCGTCATAGGAAAAAATCGTCAAAGGTAGCCTGAAATAAAATATGCTATTAATCAAATTGATTTTAAAAAACGTTTTACGGCTCGGCTAAGCTACTTATTATCTTCATCGATCAAAGGTAAAAGCGTGTCTTAAACGTTTAATTTTTATGCAAAATTTATTTACYGTTATCATTTATTTTTCTGTAATGGATCAGTTTGGCATTTCAACTTTGGCTTTCTTCATTTCTTGATAACATAGCCAGAAAAGCCACGGATAAATTACTAATTTAYTCAGCAAAGTTATGCCAAGAGAAAGACGCCAAAATATTGCCACAAATACTTTTATTTCATTTGAATTTTATATGAACTAAGTTTGAGTAATTCTCCTTGATTTTCAATGACTGAATCATTCGCTTAGCTTTGCTAAGACTTGCCTGAAATACAGTTTTGCCGGATCAWTTCTCACTCGATTAAACTTCAGCCAAAGAATATTTTTATAAATATATATAAGAATAAGTGTCGTTAAGAAAAAGACTATATTTTATCTAATCTTAATTAACAGCATGTATTTATATATTATATCTATAGTGGTTATAGATGATGATGAARTCAAACTCCACCGATATTTGTTCGCTAACTACACTCGTGTTGTTCGACCAGTGAAAAGAAAAACAGAAGCAGTGACAGTGAARTTGGGAATCACAATTCATCAACTTGTCGATTTGGTAAGGATAAAATCTCTAATGATTCAACTACSAGTTGGAAGCTAGCCTTGAAAACTCTCTAAACGTAGAAAAATATATGTGTGTTTGTATTGATGGAGTCGATGTGTGACCAATTGTGAAGGGATGGAGGAGAGACGTGAAGGAGTTCGTTAGTGTCCGGGTCACAGATTATAGTATATTTATTTATTTCAATATATTTTATCTAATGTGCGTCCTCAAGGGAAGTGCCTAGCATGGGACATTCATTTTTCTAATTATCCGACTAGCTTATGTATATACATGTACCTTTAAGTTGTTATTTAATAAAGTTGTAAAAAAGAAAAGAAACAAGAATTCCTAAAGAGATTTGCGAGGGAAGCTAGACTTTGAACTGCCTCATTCGAAAACGTAATAATTAGTATTCACTATGTGTTTTGAACTACCAAAAAATATCTTATTTATTGAAGTAATTACAACGGATATTTAGTACAAAATTTAGCGTTTTCAACCCATTTTTACTAATTTGTTTAACTAAAAAAATTTATAATAGAAAACTGAGCCATTTGACTGCCAAGGGCTGAGCGCGCGCGTGTCACTGACATCTGTTAACGGCGGGAAAGTTGCTTTTCAATGTTTTCAATAAACTAAAGTTTATATTTTTATATTTTGCTTTTTGAATCATTTGAAAACATTCGAGATAACGATTTATTTATTTTTAGTCTTGAATTGTCGTCAGAGCGTCTATTTAGTAACCTTATTTTTTAAAAGTATATTTGAAATCCTGCATTTCAAGAGGAAGGCTCTTTTCTTCCCTCTTTTCATACGACTGTAGTATCTCATCGCTCACACTCTCACTAAAGCAGAGGGTTGCAATAGGGGAAAATATATAGATATTCATGGTAAAGCAATCATCACTAGATAAATACTTATTCTGGCTCAAAGCGAGCAAAAAGCCGGTCTTACGTGCATAACTTTTAACCTTTATTTCCCGTGTCTTATCCTCCTTCATGGATGAATCGATGAATGAATGTCTTCATTGAAAGAGAATAGTCGTTGCTAATCTAGTTAAAAATGTAAATGACCAAGACCTAACGAACTTTTTATTCATTAATAAAATTTGTAAAGTTAATCGCTGAAATTCCACGCAGATCTAGACTAAGGTGGCAAGGGGCATCTGAGTTGGGCATTAAAGGATGGAAAAGTTCAGCTATTGGTCGCTTGGTATTGCTTTTACGAACGATTTTAATTAACGTTAAGGACGAGAAGGCAAAATCATGTTTTACCTTTTAGGCACTTAACTATAAAACATTTTGCAACATTCYCTGAATTTGAATTCACTAAGAGAAATTCACATCTCCCCCCTTCACAATAATGTTTCTAAATGCATTATTGTCCCGTAAAGTCCTCCACTGGTTATAAATGTAGAGCGAGTATTCGAAATRCGCTATATGAGAAACTCCCATTATTATTATARTATTTTTTAAATTTTTAGAGTTATAATAGCGCAGAATAAATACCTATATCTGGGTCAACTGACAATTCTTTTGGCGAGGGAAGCTTATACCATACCATAAAGGTGCGGTAAGACTCTCTCTCCTTTGCAATGAAAATTTATTGCGCGCGGAGTGTTAATACAAGCAACATTTGCTCTGCGATTACAAAACAACGATGTTGCGCAATCATTTGAGAAATATAGTGTGTTTTTTGGCACACCAAATTAGACCAGCCATGAGAATTAACGTTGTCTGATGTCAATGTACTAAAAATATTTCCTGACAATACTAAAAATTCGAAACTTTTCCTACATCTCATCAAAGAAATACCTGGGAATGACGAGAATATCTATTGCTAAGAATTTCTTCTTTTAAATCTACTATCAAAAACAGTATCTGTGAAAACCAATATATTTATTGCTATGATATCGAGACTGTTAGAACACCTTGCGGGGTTTAAAAGTAAATTATAGGTTGTGAAAAACAGGAAATGTTGTTAAAAAGCTTTTATGTCCGGTACATTCTGTAAGTTTATTAATGACCTTGTTAGCATAATGTTAACAACAACAACAACAACAATAATAATAATAATAATTTTAAAAAAGGTTTAGTACTTATATGGCGCAAATTCGCATGTGAATATAATCAAATACGCCTAATGTTCTGTCTAAGTGATCATATGTCTTTTCATTGTTGAGGAAAAACTGGGTCGAGTTGGCATTGCAATGAATTGTGGGTCAGCTTTAGGGACGCCATCTTGGAAATAAGTTTCAAGTTTCAAGTTTATTTTACAAAAGAATGTCTATATTTACACAATTTATCACTCTCCCGCAAATAGCACTAGACTAATCTAGGCGGGAGGCGATATATTACATTAAATAAATATCTGAAGATATTTAAAACAGCCCCAAAATGCACTGAAACGAAATTCGACCCAGTGTTTTCCTCAACCTCTGAACGGCTAATGACGTTCTTCAATGGTCTGCCATCAAAATATAACAACTCGTATTAACAATAAATATATTGAACGATATTTCAGATCGAGAAAACACAGATTCTACAGACAAGCGTTTGGATAAGACAGGTATGATGTGTCAACCACTTTCTTAAAGTCAAACCCGCTGCTTGTGATGCTGAATCAAACCCTCGAGGCATAATAACAATAAAACGCCTATTGATTGATCCTATTAATCCAATGAACTTATCTGTCAGCTTCGTAATTTTGGTACTCAAGTGAACATGTTTACGAACTAACTGTAGCCGCGATTCTAAAGGAATATCAACTGGCTTTTWAAAAAATTTAGCTTAGAAACGAAAATGTTTATAACAGTTGTTTTGCTGCTAATATTTTCTTACTTCTCCTTAGACTTGGAATAATCCACTTCTCACGTGGAACCCGGACGAGTTTGGAGGTATTGACAGAATAAATGTGGAAGCAAAGAGTGTCTGGGTTCCTGATATCTATCTCTACAACAAGTAGGTACACAGGGATCCCTTTTATGATATATRCACTCCTATCAGAGACTATAATACACCATCACGTGATGGCAGCCATGACAGGAGGCAGGAACAATTGAATCTGGTCTATTCTGGTTGATATGAGAGAAAATTCAGTCTCCCAGTGGAGAAAGGACCATTGATTGATTGATTGAAGACTTTATTTAATGAGGATGACACGTGACAGTAATTTTGTTAACTGATTAACTTGTGACCATCACGTGCCCACGCCCATAATACGGCTTGGGCTGCCTGTGGTTAGATGGCAGAACAATAGAATCSCTTTGCTTTTGGGACCCTGATTTTGGGAATCGAATTCTTTCTCATGCAAAACAATTGAATTGTTCCTGYCATTCATCATGGCTGCCGTCACGTAATGGTGAAAAACCTTTTAGAACTTTTTCGAAATAAATATATTTTTTGTTTAATTTAAAATTCTATACGTGAAACACTGAAACTAGAAAAAATGTCGCGGGATTGTTGCGGGATTTTTTGCGAGATCCGTGTGTAATCTYGTTCTTACAAAGTATCTGACTGTTTTCTTTAGCGCTGACAACGAGAATGACGGTGCCCTGAATAAGTTCTCAACTCACATCAAACTTCACTCTAACGGGCGGAATACTTGGCTTGCTCCTGTACTGCTGACCAGTTCCTGTAAAATCGATGTCACCCATTTTCCGTTTGATGAACAGGTCAGATTGCTATATGCGCTAACTTAACACTCACGTAACGGTTCGCCCATACCGTAATATATTTTTAAAACGTGGAACAAAAATGCTAAATCCTAAATCCACTGAAAAAAAACTCGAGGAGGCAATTAGAAAAAAGACACGAAAAAATGTTTCTTTCGTTCACAGTCAACTTATTTTAATTCGTTTGTGTATTTTTCAGCGCTGCCTGTTAAAATTCGGATCCTGGACTTATGATGGTCTACGCTTGGATCTTGTCAGCGAGTCTCCGTCGGGTGACGTATCAAAGTACGTCAAGAATGGCGAGTGGGACCTGCTGTCTTTTCCCGCCAAAAGAAACGAGATTTTATACGTCTGCTGTCCGGAGCCTTACCCGGATGTGACGTTTACACTCTACRTGCGGAGGAAAGCGACTTATTATTATGTTAATCTGATAATGCCTTGCTTTCTCATCACTGGTGAGTCATAACAGTTAGTCAGTAGAACCAATTTGAAAGCATTGAAAAGTGGTCCTGAATTGGATTTTATTTTATTTTTGTGCTGGGAAAGATGGGATTTTATGAAGGTAGTTGGATCGACAAAGCGGATTCCCCCAGGGTTCATCACTGGGACTGTGCTTTTGCCAATATGGAAGCTTTCTAAAATTAGACTTAATTAGAAAAAAAAAAAAACTGCAAGAGCAGTGGAACTCTTTAGCTTGTCCTAATATTTCCCCCTCCAAACCTAGTGTCATTCCCTAGAGTTTCATTTCTTCGTTTAACGGTTGCGCATGAAAAGACACATGAATATGGATACGACTCAAACAAAGAATCTTTTTCTCAGGAGAATGACACTGGTCTAAAGTGGTAAAYGTTGCGCAGCCCAAGCTAAATAGATCTACTTCAGGCTTTCATTTCCAAATTTCTTTCCCTCCATTCCTCTCTCGGTCGAGTTTACCACAGTTCCCCCATGTTCAAATTTCCCCTAGTTAACCCTGCTTCTTAATCTTGTATAGGTTTAACGATATTGTCTTTCGTCTTACCGCCTGACTCCGGTGAACGAATAACTTTAGTCATTACCAATCTCCTTTCCATGACGGTGTTCATGCTCATGGTGGCAGAAGTGCTTCCAGCGACGTCTGAAGTCGTACCTATAATCAGTATATATTACTGCATTACGCTATTCGAGGTAAAATCTTATATCATTAATAAATTCAATCTTACTAACCAGTGGTGCACTTTCGCAAAATGTTAGGCTGCGTTTTCAATGTATGGCAGAGGGGGGGGCAGGTGAAATTTAGGGGGGATCGGGAAAATTTTGGTAGGAAAAAGGGGGGATGGGCAAATTTTTATCAGAAAAATGGGGGGATGCACAATTTTTGGAAGAAGCTACAAGCCTTGCTTAGAGGGATTGTATTTTTTTGCATGGCATTAAGGGGGGTGTTAAGAATTATTCTGGACATTTCAAATTTTCACCTGCCCCCCCCCCCCCCCTTGCCATACATTATGAACGCAGTCTTATTACTGTCCATCAGTCGGTCGGTAAGTCAGTCAGTCAGCACCTGCCTGCCTTTTTCCTTGCACATTAAGATTGAGTAARTCCCATACAGCGGTCTTTTAAGACACTATAATAACAAGTAATTCTATCCATTCTTATGAACAAGGTTGGGCTAGCCTTAGTGGCCACATGCGTGGTACTACGGGTCTATTTCACTAACCCAGTCACAACAGAAATGCCAAACTGGGTACGAATCGTCGTCCTTAAATGGATGGCACGTTTCTTCAAGATCAAAGTACCAGGCGCAATCCAGGAGATAAAGAAAGAGTTTAGCGCTGAAGGTCAAGTCGTGAGGCAGGAAATGCTGCGAGAGAACGAAGCTTTAATAGACTTCAAGAGGCAGAACGAAGGAAGAGAAACAGAGAGAAAAATGTCTATTGTGCAGTCACCAAATTCGTCACTTTTGGACAGGAGAACYTCGTTCTTTCCAGACGAGGCAGCAGTATATCAAACACTCGACCATTTGGACGTCCACCGTCTCTTTACGCGGGAAAGAAGACCTTCAATTTGGTCAATTCCACCTGAAAAGCTATGTAAAGTGAGACCAGGATCTCCTGTTCCTGACAGCGACGTCGAAAACACGGGTGTGAACGAGAAACCGCTGGATAACGGTACTGGGGGCTCAAGTGCGAATAATCCGTTGACCCCAATGATGATTTGCAGACAGGAAAACATCGCGAATAACCTGCGTAGGTTGGTTAAAATGGCTCGAAGTAAAGAAGAAGAGGAAATCAAGAGAGAGGAATGGAAAGTGGTTGCTGAAATCATCGATAAATTTTTACTGTGGGTATTTATGTCGATGTTGCTAACCTCGACTTTTGTAATATTTATTCAAACTTCACGGCACTCGAGTTCCTCGGATCCCGAAAAATAGACTAAAACAGGTACTTTTTGTGCTTGAAATAGAGCTTGTTACACCTAATACAAGTGTATATATGGGACAGCATAAATAAGCTACTTTGAGCCTTCATTCCTTCTGGTCAGCGGTCTTAGAGCCTTCRGATATTTGATGCTGGCTGAGTAGACTGCAGGCTCAACACATGTTCTTTGAGCCTGCATTCCGTCTGTTAAGCAGTCTTAAGCCTTCATTGAATTTGTTGATGCTGACCAGTGAAGTAGATTGCATGCTCAACACACGTCTTTTAGCAGCCGCACTCCTTTCGGTAAGCAGCCTTTAGCATTTAGCTTCTTGAGGCTGACAAACTCGGGCTCTGAAAACTCTAAAAAACACGCTTGATTTCTCTGTAAGTAACAGTTGAATTAAACGCCAAAAATTCATCAAGCTGAGATGCCAACCATAAACTTAGATGGTGCAATGGATTATGGGCTGAATTTGGGAAGCAAGATGGCGGCGGCGCCTTTCGTCCACGCTACATATTTATTCCTACAACCATTCGCAATACTAGTTCGTTATTAATCCTTTGAACTTAATGAAGACAATTCTCCATGCCTAATAATCATCATTATCACATCTCAAATATCTACATTTCGTAACATCAGTAACATCATCTAACATGTTTTCTAGTGTTCGGTTGTTCCTTCTTATGAAATTCTTCCATCTCCTATTGCTTCTATTACTCAAATCCGTAGCTTTAATACCTGTGGAGGTGCGAGCGCTGGCGACTTTCAGGACTTGGGGATTTTTGTTTTTGTTTTTCGAGTTCCCAAAATGTTGCTGCGAGATCCTTTGTGCCTTGGCAATTCCTTCTTGGATTTCAAGTCGTTTGAGCATTGTCTGTCTGAGAACAATTTTTTCGTTTTCCGATAGATCGGTCATGACGGATGGTTCGCTTTTCAGCCTTCGTCTTCTACCATTGTACTCTTGTCTTTCATTCAAAAGGCGCGGAGACTGTGGTGGAGAGCCAGGTCCTGATTCACAATCACCTCTTCTCGTCAAGGGAGACCCCTGGAATGAGTTATCGCTCTCATCAATTGTATTATGATGTCCCATTGCTCGTATTCCTTGAATCTCTTTCCTTTTATTATTTTCTACTTTTATATTCGTACTCTCTAAATCTCTTTTACGTGATATATCCGGCGAATCATCTGAGCAGGAGTTGGAAGGAAAAACTGGAAATCTTGCTGTTTTTTCTTCGTGGCTTTCTTGAGTGTTTTGCTTCGTTGGTTTGTTGTCATTATTGTGTTGTGTCGGTGTTCTCGGCCATGAAGAAGAGAGGATTGTTGGAATGCTTTGAGATCTTGTTTTCTTCATGGGTTTGTTCAAGCAGGTTGATGTCAAGCGAGGAGGTCTGCTTTCGTTTCTTTTTACAAGAAGTTTTTCTCCTGCAGCTGGAATAATATTTTTTCTGTTTGCTTCGTTCTCCTCGCAATAGCCATAAAAATCGTCACCCTCATGGAAGACTTTTGAATCAACATCATCTTCATCACCAGAACTTTCTGAAGAGCTACAACGACTTCTAGTTTCAATGCTTTTTGCACTCAAAGGACGTCGAGCTCTGATAGCCAATTTACTGAAAAACTCTCCTCTTCCTGGAAATAGATATTGCGTGTCTTTCAAGGAAGTTTTATATTCAGATGGCGATGATGTTCCCGACGAGCTGTCATTCTCATGTAACACTGTGTCATCGTCTTCGCTGCAGCTCTCAATTTCAATTACAGCCGGTAGAGAATTTCTTCGAACGTTTTTTGTGTTAAATCTAGTTTGAAATGAGATAGTTCTTTCGTGAGCTTCTTCGACTTTGTTTTCTGACGTGCAAATATCGGGTCCTCTGTTGCACGCAATCCCAGCCCCTATGGCAACAGAGCCGTGCCTTCGGCGCGACAAATAGCTTGCACTTGGGCCAGCAGGTTGTGGTTTTTGTGTCTTGACTTTTTCTTCCAGTTCTGSAGGGCAACTCACTCTAACAACTTGACCAGGTGTCAAAGAAATGTCTAACGCATTTGCAGCCCTTCTCATTGAGGTAATTGTACGACCAACTCCAGATGCTGTAAGAAGGCCTTTTCTGTTAGTTGAGCCATTGTTGTCAGACGGGTTTTGTTTACCTTTATTGTACAGTTCAGCTCTTTGACTACTGCTGTTGTTTTGTTTTACGGATCCTTTATTGCTCGTAGACACCACAACTTCCACAAACCTCGAGTGTTTTGACTTTTCCTCCTTCACATGTGGTGAGGATTTGTAAAAATTTCTTGAGTACTTTTCTTTTTTAATGCTCGCGAGTTCTTGTCGAACATGCTTTCTTCCATTCTCGAAAACCTTAATTTTCTTGTCAAGAACATTCTGTTCGACTGCGTTTCTCTTCTCCGCAAATTCAATAGACGTTCTTTGAGGAATAAAACGAAAAGTCTGCAGATTTGCCTTTGAAAACATTATTGTACAAAAACTTGAACACACTTTGATCCCACTATCAAAATATACAAGTTTAAACTGATTTGCAATATCGATTTAGTCTAATAAACTACCAAGGATTTAATTTCTTCCCAGGAGAATTCGTTAAACAAAAGAACTCCTTTAAGAAGGCTTACTAATCATTGAATTTTATAACAATAAGTTGGCATTATATTTAACGTACACACACACTGAGCTTCAGCATACAATATTCAGTTCATCATGAACTGCCATGGCATGATAATTATTTGATTTTTCTGTTTATATTATTACTAGATCGGACCAAAGAGCGTTTTATTTTAGCCTCATATCATTATTTTAGAAGCAGTTTGCAAGCATTCCCAAGAGAATAAAATAACGAAAAACGTGGCTGCCATGTTGGGTTATATAACATGAAAACTCTCTGTCCAGTTAAACCAATACGACAGCTATTAAAACCAGCTTTAAATTACTAATACCCCATTCACACCAAGGCTTAAACATGTTTTAAAGTGGTTTAACTAAACAGGTTTGGAAAACTATCTACGAACGCTGCACAATATTTGGTGAAATAATGCATGTAAACTATCCTTTGTCTTGCTGTGACAATATTTTAGAAAGTTTCATTATATTGTAGGTTTCCAGTTTCTCAATTTTTTTTCCTAATGAAAACATAGTTTAACTAAACACGTTTAGGTGTGGATGGGGTATAAAATTTACGACAAAGTATCATTATAAGCAAGTTTCGAATTCAAAAACAACTAATTTTTCTGCATCCATTCTTCCTGTAATACTAAAGCCTTTGTCTTTGTTTTTGTCCAAGCCTTGAGAAGGCGATGGCGTGCTGTTTGATACCGAATTCTTACAAGGCAAAATGACTGAATTCTGTCTGGTTCCTGAAATTTTTCTCACTGTCTCTCTGTACGCCAGAGTTTGCTCTCTCATGCACCTTAAGTAGCTTCTGAATCCCCTCGCGAAGTCTTGATTGAGTGTACCATATATTATGGGATGCGCAGCGCTTGTGGCGATTACAAGCAACACACAGAACTTCTTGGCTAACGAATGAGGGTGGCCAAATACGCTGACCAGCCAGGTCACGTGGTATGGAAGGGTACAAAGTGCGTTAACTGCTACGATGACTATTAACATTTTTATCACCTGAAAATCAAAAGAAAAACATYCTTAATTTTTTTCGGAGAAAAAAACTGAAAATCTGTACAAATTTTTTCGACACGCTATTCATTTTTAAAAAACAAAATATGAAAGCTTTTTAGAAAAATTGACTTCATAGATTTTTATAAACAGACTTTACCCCCAATTTTCTTTTCAGAGCCTGCATTTCTCTTGGTCAGCACTAAGGAACTGGCCAAGAGAAACGCAGACTCTGGGGACTGTTAATTCTAATTTTGCCTAAAATTGTCGGCGCATGCGTAGACAGTGTACCAGAATTTTCCAAGTTCCCCTAAAAGGAATCTCGAAAGAAATTAGAGGATTATTAAGTTGGTAAAACAATATTAGATAAACAGTGTTAATGGCTCTTATGCTGCAACTAACTTGGACCACAAGAGACTCTTGACAAACATTTACTCATAACATCACGTCATTTATATCAGACTTCCGATATCTGCCCGGGCTTAAGATAATCCTCTCGATATATAAGTATAACATGATATATATTTGAACTATTTTGCATTCTGTATCTCAGAAAACATTATAAAGTTTCTTCGCGCTTCCTTTGGATGTTCGAAAATCATTAGRTGAGTACAAAAGTAGCACAAGATCACTTGCAGATTTGTATCGCCCTGACGTCATTCGTTCAAAAAACTGACTTCCGGTTCTAAAAGCTTTTCTGTGACAATTTTCTTGCAATTTTCTCCTTACTAGTCAATTTTTTTGAGAAAAACTTTTTTTTGTTAAGTTAAATTTTGGAACCCATTTTACATGTAGCATTTTAGAAATTTTCCTAAGTATTTGGAACAGGAATTAAGTCACAACATAAGATCTCTAATAGATCATAATATGAGTGAGAAACGTACAGAAACGACGCTCTCAAATGGCTTCCTATCTTTACGTTTTCTGATTGGAAGTTACTCAATTTCGTGCCTCGTGATTGGCTAAGACTGGGAGCCAACTGGGAGTYGTGATGTATAGTATCCAGAACTAAGTTTTCATTTCTGAGGTCGGCATTATTGATATATATGTATATACATATATACATATATATGTTTAAAACAAATTTGAAGAGATTTTCTTGAAGGTATTCTGCTGTCATAACACTAAAATGGCTTCCCACTGATGTCTCATCCAATCACAATGTAGCACTCCCTATGACGTCCTCAGCACGATCTATCTTAGTATCGCTTTATTCAATCATTGGGAAAAAATCTAGTTACAAAATGATACAAATTATTTTTTAATTCTGAGAATTTGATATAGAATCAAACTCGCTGTGCTAAGAAAGGTYCCACTTCTGAAACCATTTTTAGCGTTTTACGATTTTAGGGATCCTGTGCGAAGATATTCACGAACAATTCGTTAAAAATCAGAAACAAATCAAAGGGGATGATATTCTCAATTTGAAGAGAATAAGTATAGATAAGTATCTTTTTCATTACCAACCAAAAAGGTTTTAATAAAGTTAAATTTAATAGTCTTTCAACTCTATCGTACTCTGCTTTTTATTGTAAAATCGATTTATACAACAATGCTTTGCACAATAATGTTTAGCGCGCGTCTTTTAAGCAAAAGRAGTGTAAATAATTTGTTTTTATTTACCTTTTTGTTTCTTCTTTCTCTCTGGACTAGACTCTGTATCAAAGCCGTATCTTCGGCATTAGTCGAGTTAAGTTTTATGCAAACATGAGTGTAAGAAGTCGTAATTATTGACATAGGAAGAAGGAATTGTAGAATGAATAGTAGAACAAAGTAGACTTGCTCAAAATTTAAACTTGGCCAAACGTCCGTACAAACAGGGTGTCCTCGTTGATCAATCACCGTAAGGGAGAAGTTTAATGGTAGAGTAATGAGAGCAGAGATGAACCATACTAGAACCATTACAATTTTCGTTTGAGTTATAGTCAAACGCTTCTTCAATGGATGCAAGACTGCTCGGTGTTGATCTAATGACATCACAACTAGCGTTGCAGACGAAGCAGTGATAAATAAATACGTCAACATTGGAATAATCTTACACAAAAAAGCCCCAAATGGCCAAATGTAAGAATTTTCTTGGTATGCGAGACGAAATGGTAAATTTACAGTCAACACAGCGATGTCGGCCGCAGCGAGGTTGCAAATCAAATAGTTGCTGACAGTCTGAAGCTTTCGACGTCTTAACACCATACGAAAGACCATAGCATTCCCAAAAACACCGATGACAAAAACAAGTGTGTAACAAATAAGCTTAACGACTTTAACTGGCAAAGTCTCAGTGTATTTCGTGGTCGCATTAGCCATAAATCCGTTCAAAGACGAATTATAAGAACTGTTCCACATTTGTCCGTCCATTTTGATGTACTCGACTCTTCATTCACAGACTTTGTTGTACCGATGGACGCTTTTAAACGCCTCTAAGCAGGGAGTATTATTTAACGACATTTTCCCAGCCACTTAAAGCTCACTGCACTTGGCTGATAAATATTGATATGGGAGTTATTTAGCAGCCATCAATACAGAATTAACAGCCTCATAAATCACCTTTTAAGACTGAATAAGTTAAGCATCGTTARGAGTCTTTTTGGTCTTTAACTTGAAGTGACGAGTTTTGTGTCCTAGACAATGAACTTGACTGAAAACTTTGAATACACCATATATTGTAGGACATGAAACTAGCTGTCATTCAACCGAGAAAGGTTTGATTTTTGAGTTGAAACGAGTTACAACGATGTAAATTGAGTGTCGACTTCGACACTTCTTGGGACTATTAATATATTAAAATGAACGTTATCTATATTTTTAAGTTTCCGTCATGTTTGATTTATAATTTTTATCGCTTATTTATCTTTAAAACTCGTAGCATGATTCTCATGGAATATTCTCTTTTAAGTTTACCGACAATTTGAATACAGTTTTTTTCTTCTGTTTACGCAAAAAAAAAACCCCCAAATATTAAAGAATATTAAATGAAAGTTCGTCCAAAAAATTAGCCAAAATAACGTCCAATGAAATGATTAATTGAAATTATTGCATTAATTTTCTGTTGTGGGCGCAAAACGAAAGGATAAAAAGAGCTTCTAAAGGTCTTAGAAAGCAAAAAATAAAAATAAAATATTTCTTTCCCGTGAAAACCGCTGGCGGTCAATGTATTCCACCAGATAAACCTCAGAAGGACCTCAGGAACTAGTAAAGTTCTAGCCAATCAGAATACGGCAAAAACTATTAGCCAATCAGAGCGTACGAAAAAAATAGATAGCCAATCAGAATTGACAAATACCGGGGCAACCATTTTTCTGTGGTTTTGAATGTCATTTATTTTAGTTAGTTTGACATTTTTTAACTGTTGCTTTCAAGTCAAGAGTAACTTTATATCATTTATAATTATTGGTATGTAGTCATTATTGAGATATGTTAATATAAAATATAAAAATCAAAGTTGYAAAGTTCAAAATATTTTAATACTTCTAAAAATTAAGCATATTCTTTTGGATCTAGTTTAATTGGATCATTAATTGAAATGAATTTAAATTTTTTTTTAAATTTAAAAAAATAGAAAAACTTATCTGGGCGATACGATGGGGTTTGAACCCACCGACAGAAATGTAAAACAAAAAATCGATTCAACTTTGCCATACCCCCGAGACATCCGCAGAGCTGAGGCGTCGTATGGACTTCGGACCTGACGGCGATTAAATCCTTCTGCCCTTGGGTGTACGAATTACGCAAGAAAATGTTCTAGCCGAAGCATCAGGGGAGAGACCAGCCGGCYCCCAGACCATATCGGCTAATCCCTTGCATCTCTGCCACGCACGGAATCGGTTGAAAACTTAATKTCAAAAAGTCTAGTCTATTTGGTGCATTGTTTTCATAGCTATTGTTATGCTGATTCACGTGGAACCCTGGTCCAGTGGAGAAAACTTTGGCTTCTAAATCATTATACGGAGTCAAGTCCGGTGAGGGAAGTTAGTACCTGGATRGGTTACCCAAAACTTTTGTTTACTTTTATTAATTAATAAAATTTTTTTTTGTAGCCTGAAAAGTAGCTACTATAATCGDTTTTAATTGAAAAATCGCTGAAAATAATGGGTGAGTGTTTCTTAAAACTGYTACAATATGCAGATGGAAAATGGTCTTGATTTAATCAAAAAACATTTACATGCAATTTTTAAAATACAGGTCGATAAAATACAAAATCAATAAAATCAGGTCCTTAAATTATTTCAAACCTCATTAGCCTTGCCGGACAGCAAAACGAATAGGACGGAACCTCGTGCCGTGCTTTCTATTGGCGGCGACAGCTCATGACTCCGGTTATCAACATGAGTTCTCAGTGTCGTTTCGTTTGGCGCCTTTGGCCTCGTTGTGCTTCATTATGACAGAAACTAGTCACTAATCTAGCCTTAATATRTTAATGAGTGCAATCTCCCAAAATAAAATCGACGAAAAAAGGCAGCAAATGAAAATGATAAGTCATGGCTCACACACTTAGACGATTTGTGCAGTTTTTTGGAAGATATATTGATAGCTTTTAGATTCGATACTCGATTAAACCGACCCATACTTAGACATTTCCTTTTTTGAAGAGTTATGACATGGCCTTAGAGCTCACAATGGCTGCTTCATGTTCTTAGTGGAGTCTATAATGTCACTTTTAATTTATCATTGTAACTGATTCCTAATAACTACACGATGCAAGGTAAAAAGTAAAAGAAATGGAGATATTTATCTGGTCTTTTGCCTCACGCTATCTAGATTCCGTCTTTATCTCTACAACACTCAAAATACTACTCTAGAAAATACAAAAATTGCAAAACGTCAAATATTGAGTCTTTCANCGGAACGACTTTCATGCGTCGGAACGACTTTCATGCGCTTCACTTTGATCTTATAGTAACCTGAGTATCAGACGGGCCTTGGTACTTTGCCATGCGCAGTAAATGGATTTTTGGTTTAAATGTCAGTTTTTTGGAAAACATAAAAATAAAATTGCAAAAAAAAAAATGTTTTGAATCGATATAAAAAATATAATCTTGAATTTTATCAAAGCCCTGACCGTTTGGGTTTCCTGTGGTGTCCAACCATTGGTCCGCTGAATGGCGGGAAAATGTCCCACGTGATTATCTCCTGTGACATAACAATCGATGCAGTGTAGAGTTCAAAACTTTGAAAAATTTGTTGCGAAAAAATTGAAATTTCCACCTAAAAATTACACCAAAATATCTACCAAGGACAAAGAAAGCTAAATTTAGAGTTAATATACTTATTATGTCATTTATTTCCAAGGTAAGTTGAAATTTCCATTGAAAACATTCGTCTTGAAGTGAGAGTGTAGTTAAAGTGTTTGTAAATCTTACTGAAATACTTGGATTTTGTTGTTATAGTTACAAATACGTTTGAAAACTGGTACTTTCGCTTTGCTTACAGCAATTTTTACTCTCAATACCGGTCTATTCTTTTCGTTTATAAAGCAGTTTACAGAGTTATTTTGTCAGATGTACTAGTTTTTTTTCTCGGATGCCTTGAATTTGTCTGACCTTCGTGRACCAAGCGTTATGCAAGCATACAAYACGTGTAGAGTCAAACACAACTACTCATTTTAAAAGTAGATATTTCTTCCGTTATTGAAAGGTAAAAGTCGTGCTTCCTACAACGAATACACATTTCAAAACGTTTGTACATGTTTTCATGATTTATGCAAATATTAGTTAACTTAAATAATGAAAACTTTGAAGTTTTCGTCCAAGTATGTAGTAAATCTGTAGCCGGTTACAATACAGTAAGTCTGGATAGAGTTTTCACGGGATAAAACTATCCAGTGTATAGGATTTACATAGCTTTTATCCAGTGGATAAGAATTTATCTTGGACAGTTGTACGAAGGGTGGATAGCGCTATCCAACGGATGGAATAAATCCAATCCATTTAATAAATTTTATTGGAAAACAGCATTGATTTATTCACTGGATAAGGATTTATCCGCCAGATAACGCTATCCAACCATCGTGCAACTGGGCCTAGGTGGATATCACTATTCAGTTTCAATGCAACTGGACCCTGGTTGTCTTATCACATTGACTARAAAAGTATGCCGRYAGCCTATGTTTCTAGCTCTCTGTTTCTGTGATGGGACTTGTGAAGGTTTTCACAATTTAKTACAGTTCGTGTATAATTGTGARGCCAAACCCAGATGTCAATCAACTCTCAAATGTGCCAAACCTATAATTAATGAAAACATGTTACACCCACTAGCATGCCATGTGCAGTAATTAAAAAGTACACAGGGATTGGCAGGATGTAAAAGAAGTTTTAGGAGAAACCTGATACATAACAGAATGCTTCTTAACTTCTCTAGTGTTCTGGTATTTTATAACTACACATAGCATAGTAAGCAAGTTATTCAATTTCTTCCATAAAATACAAATTTGAGTAACTGTTATTTTGGCCAACAATGGAAAAATAGAAAGTGCGTGTGTTTGTGTGTTCTGTACTTTCATAAAACATGTGCACCCAGCCAATTAGAAATCAAGATTTGTAATAGTTTTCTTTTAATAGTATTACTTTTATTATTACTTTTATTATTTGATGTAGGCCCTGTGTTGTGTACTTTCATAAAGCATGTGCACCCAGCCAATTAGAAAGCAAGATTGTTAATAGTTTTCTTTTATTATTACTTTATTATTACTTTTATTATTTGATGCAGGCCTTTGAGTATTTTGTTGCATCTCCTGCTAAGGCAGATCCTGTTTCTGATTCAAACACTGCTGATATAGAAAATAACATTCAAGACCTACCAGCTGAAACTGAAGTAAGTATTGTGATAACAATTCAATAATACATGTAGTTGGCCATTTTCCAGGGTTGTAGCTACAAGTACRGTTGGTCCGTTTTTAACCGCACCACTTTTTACCTTCAGAATCATTTCCTCCCCTTAAGTATTAATTACGCAAGTAAATAAAAAAACAGGACCAATTTTCTATAAAAAATATTAAAAAAACTGGACTACTGTCCAAGCACTGGCTATGGCCTTGTTTTCTACTATATATCAGAAGCATTTGTTCTGATTTTTGCTGCATGAATAGTAATGACCACTTTTCCACACATCAGTTAACACAAATYAATAGCACTCACAATCTGACTATCTTACATGTGCTCTCCCTATCAGATATTTTAGAGRACTGAAGTCAGACATGAACCAGAGTAATGAGGGAAGAGGTAGGCCAAGAAAGCAGCAGGAAGAATGTTTTACCTCAGGAGGAAGAAAAACTAGGTCCTCAAAACATACCATAGATCAAAATCAAGAACAGACATACTCTGAAAGTTCCACTTCTGTTTTAGATAAAAAGGAAGATATTGTGTCTTTAGTAGGAACTAGAATGTCAGGTCAAGAAGTAATGCAGAACGATTTAACAAAAGGTTCTGGTGCCACAGGAGATAGGGGAAAAAGTAAAGAATCCATGGTTGAAACTAGACATAATACTAGACAATCAGGTAGAKTCGGCACAGACAAGCACCAGGAAAGGCCTAAGAGGCACGATCACAAGCAACAGAAAGCTTTGACTGAATATWWTMAGTCRATTCCAAGTCAGTCCAAAACATCAACGTCAAAACTGAGACAGGAGTTAAGTAAAAAGAGGAGTGACTCTAGTTGCCTTGGCAACAAGGAAGATAAAGGACAGACATCAAAGACGCAAGCTCCAAGGACGAGGTCAGATAGAAAAGGGAGTAAAAGTAAATACAAAGATGAGAAAACAGGGAATAAACGCTGTGAACAAGAAAAACAGGTTGCTGGAAAAGAAAGGGAAACTAGCAGAACAAGAAGAGGAAGATCTGCAAACATGCAGAAAAATACTGACCTTAGTGAGGGTATCGAAGAAAAAAAAACACAAAAGGAATTTTTAAAAGTAAGTCCTGGACCACAGATCTTGAGAGGAGGTGCCAGTTCTTCACCGAGTTTTTTAGGACGGGATCTCAGGAGTTCAAAGAAGGACAAAAAATTTAGCACCTCAGTTGTTTCATCTCCAGATAAAACTACTATAAACACCAATGTCAAGACTCCTGAGCTGTCAAGATCTAAGAAAACCTCACCAAAGACACCACCAACAAGGTCTTTTTATGGTTCCCAGAGAGAAATGAGAAGAACTACTCATAATAATGAAGGGTTAACATCTTCAAAGGTGATGTCAAATATTAAAAGTAACGTCACCAAGAATAGCCCAGTGCTGACGAGATCACACAACAGTTCACCAAARACACCAGARCATTCCTATAAACAGGGGTTGCATRCATGTAGAACACCGATATTGAAGAAGCAAGACACAGATTTGCCATCATCATCACAAGATGTGAAAAGTGATATCAAAATAAAGAGCCCAGCACTTTCAAAATCAAAAACAACTYCAACCAAGATACCAGTTTTAAAATCTTCAAATATTTCTCCAGGGAAAKGTGTACTTAAAACCCCACCTAAAAGAGGAAAAGTGTCTAGTCCTGCAGTGCCATCTMCGATTAGAAAAATTGAAAAGAAAATCACCACACCTTTGGTATCCAGATCGAGTTCACGATTGCCCATAATATCGGTATCACCCAGAAGGGGCCAGTCAGCAGAGAGGTTGCTAGGTAGATACAGTGACAAGTGTAGTAGAAGCAGTTCACCATCAAACAGCCCTGTCAGGAGGTTACGAAGTAGAGAACATGCAGATAGATATGAAGAAGGCTGTTCAGGGATAGGGGTAAGCAATGTTCAGACTTACAAAAAAACTTGAATTTTTTCGTACCCTGAAAGAACCTCGGGGCTGATCTAAGCTAGGGCACAGCTAACTGACAGTAACAATTGGAACTTAGCGTGTTAGGATTTGTGGAGGGAGGAAAACTGGAGAACCTGGAGAAAAAGTTGTGAATCAAGGCTTCATCACATGTGTTCCAAGGAATCGAACCTGAGACCCAAAAGGTGTAGGAGCAAATGTACTTCCCCTACACCACCCTTGATTGCCATTGTTTTATGATATGCTATTGTGATATGATTGTGGTTATTTAATGCTTATTTCAGTTTGCCAATAAGCTAATTAAAAGATGGTCGGCTCACTAAGGATATTTCTGTTATGGTATTTATGTAGGCAGGCAGATCATCTCTGGAAGATAGTGAAGAGTTTGTTGTTCCCTCATGTTCAAGGCAGACAGTGAGTAAAGGCATTGCTATAAAAGACATTTTATATTACTGCCTTGCATGATAGATTTTTTCTTKGCTAGCAATTGCAATTAAAACACTTAAATAATAATAAATAATAATAATAATAAATTTATCCAGGAGACTCTTGCAAAAGCGATTTTCAGTAGGGTCCTGCAACAGAAATAATCGTTAAAAATATATACAAAAATAAAATGAGACATAAATTAAAATTACAGATAAAATACTAAAAATGTTATATATAAAATTGTMATATAATAAAAAGAGAGARATTAAAGTCCATTATAAAATACTACTAACTACTGATTTGAATTGTAATAAAGATGACGATTTTCTGATGTTAATGTCTAAACTGTTCCATTCATTACTGGCTTGATATATAAAACTTTGGGATAAAACAACAGGGTTTTTTTTATTCTCATAGGAATGAATATTCAATAAGTACAGGCTATGGAGCCATAGTCCCTGACTTTTGCTAGTGTCATTAATTTTTTTAAACCAAGCACCAGCCTCCCCTAGTATTTAGGGTGCTCCACTGTCCTTGGTAAGGTCCATGCTTAGCTTTGTTCTCCAACAGCAAGCCCCATGGACACATGCAAATTTCTAAACATTAAATAGATGCATGTTGCTAAAACAAAAATGAKTGTCCGTCATAGCTTGGGTGTCCTTCATATCTGGGAGTCCATGTCTGTCGAGTGTCTGTTGTCCATAATTGCTGGGTTTCTCTTGATGTCATTTCCTGTCTCATGTGGAATGTACATCAGCCGAATCACAAGTTTTCAATTCTTTCTGATTGACAGCACATTTTGCAAGATTTTTGCAAGATTTTTATCAGCTGATTGAAACCCAGCAATTGGGAGGTGTCTGTATCAAGCGGGTGTCTGTATCAAGTGGGTGTCTGCATCAAGTGGGTGTCTGCATCAAGTGGGAATCTATCAAGTGGGTGTCTGTATCAAGTGATATCAAGTGGGTGTCTGTATCAAGTGAGGTTAAGCTGTATATTTGTTTCTTCCAGATGTCTCCTTTGACTGAAGACAATGACAATGGTGATGATTCATCAGCATCAGAGTATGATGTCAATGATGATGAAGGATGTATTACTGACACCATGAAGGCAGAAGAGAACAAAATACATCAACAGACTGTCAAAAAAGAGAACAAAGAAAAAATAGAGGTTAGTTCAAGCAGAACTCTATTCCTTGCTTTACTCTACCAAACCATTGATTAAAATTTTAAATTTGTGTAAAGTCTCTCTTTTGTTGGCTGGACAACCACTCTTCATGAAAAATAATGAGAATGAAGGATAAGATAAAACCTAAAAAGGATGCTTTGGGATCACATTCTGGGTAACAGCCACCTTCCTTGGAAATCRTTCTTGATCTGCCACTGGATAAGGAGTGAAAGAGTTGGGAAATGAAGAGTTTTTAACTGTTTTTTCTTGGCTTTTCCCTCTTGTAGTGCATGGATGAATGGGCCGCAATGCAAGAGGGCCAGAAGTTTGCCAGACTTCAGCACTTGCTTAACAAGTCAAACATTTACTGCCAGTTCTTGTTAAAACGAATGGAAGAACAACGAGAAAATGAGGAAAAGAAACAGAAAAGAATGGCAAAGAGACAAGAAAATAAGGAAATCAAAGAGGCTACTAAACCACAACAGGTTACTAAGAAAAAAACAAAACAGCAAAACCTTAAAATTCAAGTCTTATTGATACCTTGAAACAATCTCTGAGGGCACAGCTAACTCACAAATAGAATTGTAAATTAGATTGTGAATTTTTGTGGGGGAAGGAAAGCTGTCAAACCCAACGAAAAATATTCAATCCAAGAGAGAAACCCAACAAACTCTAGGTCCATGTGATACCGACACGAGTGAAAAACGTCTGTGCAAGTATAAASCTTCATAACTTAGAGACGCATCACTCAAATTAAGAAATACTTTACCAATCAACTATTTACTTTATGCAGAACCAGTACTGAATGTATTGTCAAAGGGTTCATTTGCAATTTAAAGGGAAGCAAATTTCTCAGAAGTTTTTACTTCCTGTGCTAAACTGTATGCATATCTTACAGGTTCAAAGAAGATCTGCCAGAAGAAAAGAAAACGATCAGTCAGATAGTCAAGGATCTACTGATAATGATCAACCAGAACCTACTTTGAAAACAAAGAAAGGAAGAAAGCGAAAAGCAGAACAGAGCACCAGCAAGTTATCAGATTACATTACAGAAGAGGTAAAACACTGAAAACATGTGATAATAGTCTTTAAATCTATAATATACAATGTTGATGATGATGATGATGATGGTGGTGGTGGTGGTGGTGGTGGTGATGATGATGATGATGATGATAATAGCATTTATTTTAACATGATGGAATTACAGTTACAAACTGATGTGGTCGTGTGCCTAATAATTAACCCTTTATAAAATACCCAAACCAATTTCCCTTGATGCTCGTCCTTAAGTTAAATATAAAACACCTTAATTAATATAATTTAACATATCAGACCCAAAGTAAACCCAATTTCCCTGATACCCATCTCTATCACTCAAATATGAAATTAATCAAATATAATTCAATATCTCCAACCCAAAGAAAACCCAATTTCCCCTGATACCCGTCCCTATCCATTGAATATAAAACCTGATGAAGATGATGATGATGATTAGTATTATTATTATTATATTCTTTACATTCCCTCCTCCCCAAAAAAACACACAGACACACACACTCCTTATTCACCATCACTAAAACATTTAAGATTTTATTTTTATTATCTCTTTTATTTTTTAGGCAATTGTAAAAAGACAGAAAATGAACGAAAGCAAGAGCCCACCAAGGACTCCTCTCAGTAATCGCAGCCCAGAACAGTGTGTCCCTAATACACCCAAAAGTGCCTCTCCCAAGGTGAGTTGTACRCACCCTCCGCTTGTGGGGATTGTATTGGAAATGTAATGCTTTATGTTGTTTCTAGGACAAGGTCTGCAGAACATCCTGAAATTTTGGGGAGGGGGAGGGGGGTTAAGATTGGAAGATATAAGAGACTTGTATGCAAAAGGGATGGGGGATGGGGGCTAAAATCTCTCTCAGAGGTGCCTGAGGATACATGTACAAATATGATGACTTTTGTAAAAGTCAATTAGACCTTTAAAATAGCTATTTTGTTTTATAACAGAAAGAAAAAGCAGTTACTGTTGAAGGTGATGTTCATACATCTCAACCAAGTTTACTAACAGGAGGAGTGATGAGAGGATATCAGATTGAAGGCTTAGAATGGCTTAAGGTACAGTACATTTAAGCCACATCCACATTTTGCATTTTGGGAATGATCCRTTTTCATCTCACTGAAAACTGTTTTCAGCATTGAAAACTTTAATTTTTGTTGTACCCTTGTGTGTGCAACAAAGAGAGGGGATGTGTAAATATCTTAATGTCTTAATGGTGAACTTTTCTTTGAATTTTTCAGGTGTTATATGAAAATGGTGTGAATGGTATTCTAGCAGATGAAATGGGTCTTGGCAAGACAGTGCAGTGTATTGGCTTGATTGCACATTTAATAGAAATGGGTGTCAAAGGACCCTTTCTTGTCGCTGCACCCCTTTCTACTCTACCTAACTGGGTGTCTGAATTCCACCGCTTCACTCCTAAAGTAAGTTTCCTCCCTCCAAAAAAATCATTTAAATCATTAAAAAATCATATCTAAATTCCAATTCAATCATAGAACAGGCTTGTTAGCCACTGGCTATAAGTGCTTCCCWCATAAAAAAAAATTTCCTTTACATGCATGTTCTAACAAAGTGTACAATTTCCAGATTCCAGTGATTCTTTACCATGGAAGTATAGAGGAACGAACTATATTACGAAGAAAAATAGACAAACTTGTTGCCGTTGGTCCATATGTATCCCAGCCAGTGATAGTCACGTCTTACGAGATATGTATGAATGACCAGAAACACCTTTACAATTACCAATGGAAACACATGATAGTAGACGAGGGACATCGCATTAAGAACTTAAACTGTAGGCTTATAAGGTAATTGTTCCTGGACATATAAAATTGGGTTTGGAGGGTAGGTCATGTAGCTCCAGAAAATAATATTATTAATACCCAGTCACCTCTTGGAAATTCCAATCCCCCTCTGAGGGGGAGGTATGAATATTTTCTGGAATTACACAATATACACTCTCCTCAGCCTCAAATCTTTTAATGTGTGATAAGCAGAGTCCAGTATTTCAACCTTGGGCCCCAGAGGTGAGAGGCAAGTCTTCTTCTGCTACATACCTCTTGATTCCCAAGCTAGTAATTCAAATCAATGGTATGACATCTTGTATTAGCGTCCAACCATTTTCAGAGTCTTTGTGTTTATATGTATATATATTATTGATGGTATATAGGGAGCTGAAGACATATGACAGTGCTAACAGACTTYTATTAACTGGTACGCCACTACAGAACAACCTGCAGGAATTATGGTCCTTACTCAACTTTCTTCTCCCWGATATATTTGATGACCTTAGCAGGTTAGTTACCAACATCATCATTTATAGAGCTAAATAGGCCATGTGCATCATGCCGCTATTAACTATGATTACCAGAATCCCTTGCACACTCTTTTGTTCAGTTAACCAGCACCAATAGTCCCCTTCATGGTTTCCTGCGCCATCTTGAAAGGTAGCCGGGCCTTTGCATCGAAGCGATTACCTTTCAAGATGGCGCAGGGAACCGTGAAGGAGACTATTATCTTACTTTTGTCTTGAGGAATTACAAACTTTTTTTTACAAACTTGAATAAGTAAAGTGAATTAAATAATGCACAGCTTCAACAGTACAAACATAGTGTGCATGCAGTTTTTCCTTCCTTATTGTGGTCTGTTTGTCTTGCCTTATTCTCTAGTTTCCAGAGGTTATTTGACTTCAGTGCTATTGGTGACGAGGAAAGCAAAGAAAGGATTCTGGCGCAAGAGAGAGAACATCAAGTGTTGAAAACACTACATTCTGTAAGCAAACTAGTCATGAAATACTCTTTTTCTGCTCTGTCTTAAATTCATCCTTTTCCACTTTAAATTATCATTTTTGTAATGTCTCCATCTATTTTTCAGCATCTATTCTATTTTCATTTTTCCTATATTTTATCTTATCCCATTTCTATACCTTTTCTTATTCACTTGTCTATATTTTTCCTACTTTCATTTTCTTTTACTATTCTCATTTATTTTCACTCATTCCACTTTTCTGAATTTTTCTAAATTATTATGATTTCCATCTCAAATTTATCCCATTTCTCTTAGTTCATTATTTTTTAAATTTAATTCAGTATAACGAGTGTTCATTGTTTCCAATTGTTTCCAGATTTTAACCCCATTTCTGCTRAGGAGACTTAAATCAGATGTAGAATTATCTCTACCTCCAAAGAAAGAGCTGTTAGTATATGCACCACTGACAAAAAAGCAGACTACKTTTTACAAGGCAGCCTTGGATAAAACTATTGAGAATATTGTTGGACCACAAAAGGTGAGGCATTCCTGACTTAACCTATTATTAATACATATTAATGATATTATTAATACTTAATAAAATATGAAATATAAATAAAATTCAATATAATATTAATAAAATAATAATAAGATATTAATATTATTACATATTATTTTAGAAAAAATTAATAAAGTATAGTTAATACTTAATACTGCGAGGCAGCACGGTCGAGTGGTCATAGAAAGGTTTCGCAATCCGGTGGTGCCGAGTTCGAGTCCCACTGTGGCCACTAGCTGACACTGTATTTGTCCTGGTCACTGATTAGTTCAAATTCAGTTTCTTGACCATGCTTCTTAATAGCCAACTGGTTTGCCTCCTTGTCTGTTGGGATTGTCAGTGGAAGTGTACTTTCCACATTAAATACTTTTAATAATATATTATTAATAATTAGGATATTGTGTAGATATTCGCCATTCTGAGGTTGAGGAAAAAACTGGATTGAGTTGGCATTGCAGTGCATTGTGGGGCTGGACATTTCCAAGGTGATGATTATTAATCCCATTATTATTATGATGGAAACGATGGCGTCTATTAGTGCCCTCAAACAGTCCCACAATGCACTGCAATGTCAACTCAACCCAGTTTTTTCCCTCAACCTCAGAACTGCTTATGTAGTGTCCATCCCTACCATGATCCTATTGACAGTACCATGCTTCTCAGACTTAATGTTGAAAAAAAAATTCTTTACATATGTCAGTTGAGTTTGTTTGATGTATTTTATCTCCACTGCTTTCAAGGTTTTCTTCTTTAATCTTTAATCATGTACTCTTAAAACAGTTAAACTATACTAAGAAATAATAATAAAATAAAATATATGTAAATATGTATATGAATATAATAAATTCATTAAATATATAATAAAGTAGATATATAGTATATATACACACACACACATACAACATACACACATATATATATGCATGCACATAATACGTGACCAGAAGCATAGGTATATCATGTGTACATGTAGAAAAATTGAGTGATCAACCAATTGAAGGCAGGGATTAATTGCTCAGACATTTGCTCTGCATACTCCAGTTTTTCTCCCTCTGTAAAAATCAGCCTGTGAGATTTTGTATGTTGTAAATATCGAACAAAGTAGGAACATTATAAAAAAAAGCCCCTTAATGGTTTTAAAATCTACACCTTCGAACTAAATAGTGGTTGAGAGTCCACATTGTAACAATACATGCCCCCTACACTAACCTTGATTCCTGAGACTTTTTTTCTACTTCGCAGAACAAAAAAGAAGAAATCATAGAGATTAATTCTGCTGGTAGACCAGTAAGGAAGAAGAGACTGAATATTAATTATAAAGTCTTTGATGCACAAGACTTTGAGGAGCTGGCCAATACACTGACAGAAATGAAAACTACAAGGTGAGATATAACAATAAAATGGAATATTTGCTATCGCTTCGCATCTCATTCTCTTGAATATTATTTTTTCATGGCACTTTACGACTGTGGGCTGATTTTTTCTTAACCATACAAGATTTACTCTTGGCTATTCATATACACCACCATGACTTTGCTCAGGAAATCTTCCTTGACATACTCAAAGAATTATAAATAATAATAATAATAATAATA